CAAGGAGAACTACAAACCACTGCTCAGTGAAATAAAAGAGGACACAAACAAATGGAAGAACATACCATGCTCATGGATAGAAAGAATCAGTATTGTGAAAATGGCCACACTGCCCAAAGTAATTTATAGATTCAATGCCATCCCCATTAAGCTACCAATGACTTTCTTCACAGAATTGGAAAAAACTGCTTTAAAGTTCATATGGAACCAAAAAAGAGCCCGCATGGCCACGACAATCCTAAGCCAAAAGAACAAAGCTGGAGGCATCACTCTACCGGACTTCAAACTATACTACAAGGCTACAGTAACCAAAACAGCATGGTACTGGTACCAAAACAGAGATATAGACTGATGGAACAGAACAGAGCCCTCAGAAATAATACCACACATCTACAACCATCTGATCTTTGACAAACCTGACAAAAACAAGAAATGGGGAAAGGATTCCCTATTCAATAAATGGTGCTAGGAAAATTGGCTAGCCATAAGTAGAAAGCTGAAACGGGATCCTTTCCTTACTCCTCATATGAAAATTAATTCAAGATGGATTAGAGACTTAAATGTTGACCTAAAACCATAAAAACCCTAGAAGAAAACCTAGGTAATACCATTCAGGACATAGGCATGGGCAAGGACTTCATGTCTAAAACACCAAAAGCAACGGCAACAAAAGCCAAAATTGACAAATGGGATCTAATTAAACTAAAGAGCTTCTGCACAGCAAAAGAAACTACCATCAGAGTGAACAGGCAACCTACAGAATGGGAGAAAATTTTTGCAATCTACTCATCTGACAAAGGGCTAATATCCAGAACCTACAAAGAACTCAAACAAATTTACATGAAAAAAACAAACAACCCCATCAAAAAGTGGGCAAAGGATATGAACAGACACTTCTCAAAAGAAGACATTCATACAGCCAACAGACACAGGAAAAAATGCTCATCATCACACGCCATCAGAGAAATGCAAATCAAAACCACAATGAGATACCATCTCACACAAGTTAGGATGGCAATCATTAAAAAATCAGGAAACAACAGGTGCTGGAGAGGATGTGGAGAAATAGGAACACTTTTACGCTGTTGGTGGGATTGTAAACTAGTTCAACCATTGTGGAAAACAGTGTGGCGATTCCTCAAGGATCTAGAACTAGAAATACCATATGACCCAGCCATCCCAGTACTGGGTATATACCTGAGGGATTATAATTCATGCTGCTATAAAGAAGCATGTACACATATGTTTATTGCAGCACTATTCACAATAGCAAAGACTTGGAATCAACCAAAATGTCCATCAGTGACAGACTGGATTAAGAAAATGTGGCACATATACACCATGGAATACTATGCAGCCATAAAAAAGGATGAGTTTGTGTCCTTTGTAGGGACATGGATGCAGCTGGAAACCATCATTCTCAGCAAACTATCGCAAGAACAGAAAACCAAACACCACATGTTCTCACCCATTGGTTAGAATTGAACAATGAGATCACTTGGACACAGGAAGGGGAACATCACACACCGGGGCCTATTGTGGGGAGAGGGGAGGCGGGAGGGGGGATGGATAGCACTAGGAGATATACCTAATGTAAATGACGAGTTAATGGGTGCAGCACACCAACATGGCACATGTATACATATGTAACAAACCTGCACATTGTGCACCTGTAACCCTAGAACTTAAAGTATAATTATAATTAATTTAAAAAAAAGTTAGCACACTTCCTCTTTGAATTCTGATAAATTCAGGAAGGGAACTACAAAGGCATAATGCCGGTAATAATACATGGAAATTATTTCAAACAATCAATGAAAGTGCCAAGAGGTGGCTTTGTAGGCCCTACCTCCCTCTCTGTACTGGACATGGACAACTGACATTTTCTCCATCTGATATAAAATACTACACAGGGCCCTCCATCTCCTTTTCCACCTGATGGTCACTCCTAAGCTGCCCTATATCAAAGTGTATGAGCCACGTCTAAAAAAGTCCTTAACATTTCTGTACTCCTTTCCACATAGTAGTCAAGACTAGACATACACAATCTAAAGAGATCTATACAAGTTTATCGCAAGCAACACCACATGAGTGATAATGAAGGAAAAAAGGACTTTTAAGACATGTACAGAACAAACAAATCAGTCTGGAGAGAAAAAATGCAATGAAGTCATCAGGGTTGCGGAAAGAGCTTAGCCCTGATCAGCTCTTCATCCAGGGATTTGGTGGGTTCACATGTAAGAAAGATCTTGATGGAAATGTGATCTACCCTCGAAGAATGACACAAAAGATGACAACAGAACTCTTTCTTTGGAGCCTCTGCTAAGGTGCACATCTTCTTCTCCAAGGAACGCCAAGCCTATCCTGGTTTATTTAGCATAAGCCTCCTTGAGGAAATACTACTGGGGAAAGATGAAGGCCTGACTGCTGAGGGTCTCCAGCTTCGGTTCATATTGGGCACAGTCCAGTGACATCTCTGATCTTCAAATAATCAGTCACTGGGAAATGGCACCCTGGTGAGTTCCGAGGTGATTTGTTATTGCTTGGCATGTCTCATCAGTTTGAATCTGGGATAGCTAAACTGGACCTGAGATCCGGAAATTGCTGTTCATGTAAATTAATCCACAGGTAGATTCTGATTGTCCTGCTTCTCTTTCCTTGATCCATCTTCTGTTTCCATAGCAGCTAAAACCTCAGTAAAATGGGACACCTGGCTCAGGCTCAGGCAAAAGTTCCCTGGGGAAATGAATCTGTTCGATGGCCACAAAAGGGGAGACAAAAGACTCTAACACACAGCCCTGTGAACATCGGCCAGGCAAACCCAAGAGGCCCAAACGTCAGAGGGGAAGACAACAAACAATTATAAGGAGGGGAGAGAGAAAGTGGAAAAGAATGAAATCAAAGCAGAAACATTTCAGAAGCTGCAAGAGAGAGCCAAAGCAAAGAACAACAACAAAAATAACTTACAGGAAAGTTATGGGCATAAAATGGCAGGACAAAAAGCAGATGCATGCAGGAGAAGCAGGGGAAGAAACACCCAGAAAAGGACAAAGAACTGGCCGGAGGAGGGAATGAGAAGAGACATCAAACAGTAGACAGAGTCTCTTGACATCAGGCACAGGAAGCCTACGCTGATAATAAATGTTCTGCAGACTCCAAAGGCACAGACTGGGCTGGCATCCGCTAGCACTGGGACTCACATCAGGCTGTGATGAATGGTGCACACTGCAGACTTAGCGTGCATCTGTCTGAATGGTCTCTCCTTCAGAAGGGCCCAGGGCCGTTCTCCATCACTAATGATCTCATGCACAACTGAAGCTTCCTCCCCGATTTTGGGCCAGTCCACATGTGAGGTCATTTCAAATGGAGAGATTGGCAGACATGTGAATAGCTTTCACAGACCCCTTGTTCACAGTGATAGTGTCAAGAATGATGGCCCAGGACAGCTCCCAGGAATTCAGGCCACACACAACTGAAAATGTCACGCCTTCTCTGAGAACACTCATCAGGACCAACTGTCACTGTCTGGAATTTGGTATTTGGGGCCCTTTCATAGTCTTACTCTGATTTATTAAAATGTTGAAGTATAGTGGACACTGTCATGCACAGCCACCTTCGGGAGCCTCACAGAAGGACCTGCTGCTGGTGGATGGCCCTTGGTGGTCCGCTGCCTGTGTCTCATGTGAAGAGAGACGCCTGGCCCACAGTCACACCTGTTTGGGGATCAGCCTATATTTGGACTGCTGTGCCAGTGTAGAGGACTAGGTCCATCACCTCAATAAGGGAACCTTCTGAAGGGCAATCCTAGCTTCAGAGCTCTCCGTAGGCTCAGTCGAGATGTCCCACTGCACTGCCTCACAAGCCAGCTTCCAACTTGCCCAACTCTGTTTCCCACTTTTCCCTTCCATGGCAGTTGAGGCCAAAAGCAGCCCCTAATATGTGTTTTTCATGCCAATCACACACTTTCATCCATCTGTGCACACCTGCATACATATACATACACAATCACATACACACATTTCACATTAATCAGCAATAAGCAACACAATTAAGGACCACTATTCATCTCTCTGCACAAATATCTTCTTTTCAGAGCCCTTCTCTGAAGAAAGCTCTTGTCATTCTGTCAACACATCCTGTTCTATTTTCTCACCCTTAATACCACCTGTTATATTGCATACTCTTTTTTTATCATCTGTCTCATGAGAATGTGAGCTCATGAGAGTGAAAACTTCACCTCTTTGGCTTATTGCTGTAACCCCCAGTGCCTGGAAGAGAGGCTGGACTATGGCAAGCACTCCATAAATATTTAAGAATGAAATATTTTTATCTTTTTTGTTCCCAAATAAAAGCTAGCTTAATAATAAATGACATCTTGTCTCAAATTCTAAAGGTTTTAATGTTCAATCCATGAAAGCACAAAACAACACTTTGGTCTACATAACATCTGAGCTTCAGATAAAGTACATTTTTGCAATTTAGTCACATATTAAGTTATATTTGTTCTCTGGGATCAATCAGAGTAAAACAACAACAAAACCACAAAAACAGCTCGTGAGCAGATTTTTGGCAAAAGGCTGCAGAGGCACAGACTTGGGCAATCTCCTTTTGGGAGTGTGGCCATTTAAAGTCCACCCATCATTATGTGTTTTCTCTCTTTTAAAACAACCAGCTGAACAACTGCCACTAAAGCTTCGTTCCATCATCAAACAACATGTAACGTCCACCCAGAACACCTGCCATCATTTCACCCGGAGACAACAGGGATTAATTTCCAAGGGACTGGAGACATACTGAGGTAGGAATTCTGAAATCTTAGAGGATACGCCTGTTTTGCAGAGAACATCAGTGTTCTCTGCAGAACCATGAGTATATTACCATCAAGCCATCAAAAACGTAGACTCCTTTGGAGGAAGTATCAGCACCCATAACCTCCTACCAAGGGCCCCAAATTCCCCCCATTTATCCTCCTGATACAATGCACCGAACTGTCCTCTTACCTTTGGGGGAGATGTGTCTCCAAGTAACTGTAGGCTCTGGTCTACCCGTTGCTATGCAGGTGAGGCTGATATTGTTTCCTTCATTAATGGAGATATCTGAAGAAATCTCTACAATTTTGGGAGATACTGTGGAGACAAGACAGAATGAAAATAAAAATCCTGCTGAAACATTTCTTAGTTGTCTTCACATGGTAGTTGGCAGAACAGCCCAGAAAGTAAAATATATGGACTATCGTAAGTTAATGATGAGAAATTAGAGGAATTACATTAAATATCAAAAAAAAAGTCTTATCTTGAATTTAGCTTTGATTTCCTTTTATTTAAACACAAAGTCAGGGAGTCCGAATGGGAATAAATTCTACTGCAACACTGCAATAGCTATTCTCCTAGCCTCCACCCTCTTCCTGTATCTACTCACCCCCACCCACCTCCAACACATATCCACGAGCCATCCTCCACACTGAATTCAGCGACGTCTTGAAAGAATGCAATTGTGACCATATCAAATCTCTGTCTAAACAGCTCCAGTGGCTCCCCATGGCCACCTGGTCATAGCTCGACTCCTTCTAGGCATGAGGCCATGCAGAATCAAGCATCAACCTACATTTCCATGGCCATCCCCAGTGATCCCACCTCTCCTGACTCCCTTGTTGTCCCCAGAACATCATGCCCTGTCTGGGCAGTAAGGATTTGGGTCCATATTGTTCCTTATATCCTTCCTGGATAACTCCCAACCATCTTCATTTTTATTTTTATTTTGAGACAGGGTCCTACTTTGTCACCCAGGCTGGAGTGTAGTGGTACAAATACGGCTCACTGAAGCCTTGACCTCCCCTGCTCAAGCAATCCCACCTCAGTCCAAGTAGCTGGGACTGCAGGCATGTGCCACCATTCCTGGTTATTTTTTTATTTTATTTATTTTTTTTTATAGAGACAAGGTTTTGCCATGTGCCCAGACTGGTCTCAAACTCCTGAGCTCAAGCAATTCACCAGCCTCAGCCTCCCAAAGTGCACTCTCAGCCATCCTTAAGGCCCAAAGCAAATGCCACTTTCTTTGTTGAAACTTTCCCTACCCTCTACACTTCTCTGTCCTTTTGGACACCTCAAATTTCTGCTTCTTCATCCATGTGCCCAGAACACATTCTATACACTTGGTGGGGAATCGAATAAAACCTCAGTTAGCCACAACTTCTCTCTCTCTCCCTCCCTCTCTCTCTCTCTCTCTCTCTCTCTCTCTCTCTCTCTCGTGCAGCAATGCACGAGGACCGGATAGGGCCTGCGGAACATCCAGCCATTGCATGTGTGTGCCTGTTTCTTTCTGGGGTCCAGTCATGGAACCTCATCGTTGCTGCACATCTGAGCCTAATTCTCCAGTCTCAGCTTTACTACTAATAAACATGTGATACTTGGTTCCATGTGTCTACTTATCTGTCTTATGTGTTTTAGCATTCAAGTGAATGGAGTAAAGATGTCATTTATTGAGCTTCCAAACTCCAATTCTAGACACTTATTTCACTAAGCTATGGTTATGTGCTTAGCGTCACCCACTAGGCCATGAGCTTTCTGATGACCTGAACGATGTGTTACTTATATTTGTATCCACACTAAGAGCTCAACAAATATTTACAGAATTGAGTCATAATGGTAGTTCAAGGGAACCACCTTCCCAACCTGTATGCAACATGTCCATAACAACCTCAGAGCTGGGTCATTGGCAGATATTCTTTCCATCCTACTGATGCTGGTTTTGACTTCTTAGTTCTTGGCAAGTTAAGTGTCCCCTCCATCCAGCACTCTTCTGTTTCTTCATGTTATATTCTTGCCTCGAATAAGTACTCCTCAGAGTCACCATGCTGTGCAATTCTAGAGCACACCATCCACCTGGCTTACAATGGGATCTGGCCCGCCGGGGATCCCAGGGAAGCTGCGCGACGACTTCATTGCTTGTTGCGAGGTCAGGGTGGCGCCCTCACACTCAAATCAGATGGGTTTGCAAATTTTAATGCTGGTCTTTCCTCTACTTGAACCATTACTCACTCATTCCTAGTTGTGTTGGACCTTTTCCTTCATGAAAACGGGGTATTATAAAGATATCTTAGCCTTCTTCCTCTTGTCTTCTCCAGTGTTACCTTCCATGTATGTCCTGCATCCACCCAACTGAAACGTTCATCATTAATAAGCACGTGCTGTACTTATCTGTGCTGCACTGAGCTGTCTCCTTATCCCCATGCCCTTGTTGCTGACTTCAGTGCTCACACCCTTCTCTGTGCCTATCCACATCCATTAACATTGTTCAAGGTCTGAGAGAATTACCACCCCTTTGATAAGGCTGTCCAGATGATCCTCAAGAGGATATGACCTCTCCTTCCTGGGGATTCCACAGCACTGTAGTGTCTCCTGTATGGCATTTAAAGTAAACTCTTACGTAACATGTGCCCCACCTTTCCTTTTATACTATAAATTACATTAATATAAGATATTAAACAAGATCCTCACTTAACTTTTTAAGTTTTTGCTGTCCTAACTAGGGGATGTTACACAGAGTAAGCACCAGTTAATCATTTTTAGATTTCCATCCTCATTGAGCTTCAGATAGAGAGGCAGTGTGTGTGTCTCCACACACGCGCGCACGCACACACACACACACACACACATTTAACTGCACTCCCATAAGCATTTGGTGGGACAGAAATAATGGAGAGCGGACATGGACAAGGGTTGGAGGAGACAGAACGCTAGCTCTATAATCTGGGACTTTTAAGCCCTAACATTGCAATTTATGGTTGTGTCATTTTAAAAGCTACATCGAGCCTTCCAGGACAGAAAGGTAATTGATGAGTTAATGACTGAGCATTTGATTTGCTGACTGCCTGAAGGGTACAAACTTCTAAATTCTCTTAGTTCTGGAATCATTTAAACTGATCATTGCAAAAATAGACACTTTGATGTGTTTTATTCACAGAGTTTTAACTACAGCATTCGCATCTCACACACCGGCCACCTCCCCCTCCACCCCCCAACACCAATCCATACATCTGCTGGGCCCCGCCCCTGCTCACTTTTGGCACCTGCACAGCCTTGCTTGCTTCCTGGAGGACAGGCTGCCTGCAGAATGTCTGTACTGGCCTTGCAGACACTGCTTCAGCTGTGCAGGTAAGTAATTTATTGATCTGTAAAGCACTCCGAGAAGCTCTGCAAGGGATTATGTCACGCCAACGCCATGCAATAAAATAAAAAATGATGGACTTTGTGAACACAGGGTGATTTAGGGTTTGTAGTTGGAAGTGTACTTAAAGTACATTTTAAGTGGAAATCAGGCCGGGTAATGAATTACTCTTGCTTTGGAAGGGCTTACTGTGAGTTCATTTTCCTGGCTTCCCACATGATAGCTAATCTGCTAATCATACACTAGAGAACAATGGACAGTCCCCAAGTAGGATAGAAGGTGGTTTGGGCCAGAGCTGTCAGTGCAGTAAGTATATTAAATAAGACAATTGCACCTCATGCTTGGAAGAATCATCTAGAATTGTCTCCCCCGACTAATAATTGGAAACTATCCAACTCATGAGGTAGAAGTTGGAGAAGTGCTTGCTGTCCTTTAAATTCTGCCTAAGAATACAGTTTGAAGGAGGCAAACTGCCCGTGGGTGAGTGAGAAAGACAGATCATTCATGGCATAGAGATGAGGTGGTTTGACCAGGGAAGCAATCCCAATGATCAAAAACAAATTGGCATATGCCTAAGATGCTATGGGAATCAAAATATGATATTCTAGGTGGCAACTTCTCATTGTCAGTATTCAAGACTACATTGAATTGATTAGGATGCACTGTGGTTTTAGTTAAGCCATCCTCATAAGGAAGCTTCTGACCGAGTGTGAGATAGGGCTACTTGTATTTTTATATTGTTTCCATGGATACATTCTGTATCTGACTTCTCATCATTCAGACTGTTAGAAACATACTAGGATTGTTTTGCTTATTTTCATTCATTCACTCCTTCTTCAATATTCATTGATCACTTTCCATACACCAGCATTGTGCTAAGCACTAGAGACATAAACTAAGTAAGATACCATACTTTTCCTCAAGGAGTTCACAGCCTCAAGATATAAAAACAGATGCAGAAGCCTAATATTCTAATGTATGGTGACACAGAATGGTGAATCAGGTGTTATGGGGACACAGAGGATAGACATCTAAGCCAACCTTGACATGGATGTCACAAGAGGCATTTTAGATATGTGATACCTAAGTTAAGCCCCAGGAGTAAGTAAAAATTAATCATATCTGGAGAGAAAAGGAGGAAAGATATCCTAGGCAAAGGAGACAATATAAGGCAAGCACTATTAGTAAGACATTTTATGGCCAAGCATAATTGTTAATGGAAGAAGTCTACTTTAGAGGAGTAGTCCCCAACCTTGTTGGCACCAGGGACAGGTTTCATGGAAGATAATTTTTTCCATGAACTGGGGATGGGGAAGGAATGGTTTCAGGAGGATTCAAGCACATTACATTTATTATGCATTGTATTTCTATTATTATTACATTGTAATATTGCAATATATAATGAAATAATTATACAACTCACCATAATGTAGAATCAGTGAAAACCCTGAGCTTGTTTTCCTGCAACTAGAGGGTCCCATCTGGGGGTGATGGGAGATAGTGACAGATCATCAGGCTTTAGATTTTCACAAGGAGTGTACAACCTAGATCCCTCGCACGGGCAGTTCACAATAAGGGTTCATGCTCCTGTCTAATGCTGCCGCTGATCTGACAGGAGGCAGAGCTCAGGCAGTATTGCCAGCAATGGGGAGTGGCTGTAAATACAAAAGAAGGCTTCACTCACTCACCCACCAGCCGCTCACCTCCTGCTGTGCAGCCTGGTTCCTAACAGGCGACAGAGCATTACCAGGGCATGGCCTGAGGTTTGGAGACCCATGCTTCAGAGGTTGGGCCAAAAGTCATTCAATGAACATTTTGTGAACACCTACTGTTACATAATGGTGTGCTAGGTATATGAAGAACACACAGGCACATACCAATTTGCCTGGCCCCCTATGAACTTACAATCTGTTTCAGGAAACTGGGCATATAAACATTCCAGAGAGTTGAATAATAAGGC